AAAATACACTTTTTCACACAATGGTAAACTTCTTTTAAGTATGCTGCAAAATGTAGTTTGAAAAAAGGAAATCTAAGGCACAATCTAAATAGAGAAATCTGGTAAAATACCGGTGAAATCTTACTGTTGCATTACCACTGTTCTTCTTTTTTCTTTTTTCTTTGCTTACTGGTCTGTAATATCTTGTCACTTCTTGCATAAGAAGTATAATGTTTTTGTTGCCTAATCAAGCACTGATAGAACTAGAACAGTACATGCCGGTACTGAGAAGAATTCTGCTGTTCCGAAACCGCCGTATAAACTATTTTTGCCTGAAAACACTTGCTGTTCAAGAATAATTTGTGTTGTTTTTTTTTAAATCACAATTAAAGTTTTAGGTTGTAATTCTTTTTTCTTTTTTTTTTTTTTTGCTTGGGTCATTTGGGTTTGGATTTTTTTTTACTCTGAATGATGGAAGAAGGAAGAGGAGCTGGTGTTTGAGGAGAGCAGAAACAACAAAAGGCAAAGGATTTTATTTCCAAAGAAAATACTGCTCTTGAAAACATGAGGACAAATGTTTCAATTAAATTCATTTTTTTCTCTCTTTTTGAGCCAGCTGTGGATGCTAATAGTAACCTGGATTCTTTGTGTCACTTTGGTTTCCCGTAATCAACTGTAACTGTGTTGTCCTTGAATTAATAATAATCTCATCATTTAAGACTACTCACTTCCTTGGTTTGGTTTTTAAATAGCACTGCACCTTACTGCAGCATGCACATTGTATTGTTATCCAGAAAGAAAAACAGTGGTCCATGAAAAATTCCTGCCAGCAGTGCCCCATTGCTCACAGAAATAGCCCCAGCTGCATGTGCTGGAGCTCATTCTGCCACCTTTGCCTCCAGTTTCAATGATTCCCCCCTTGACAGAAGCAGATAGATGCCATGGGAGCTCTGCTTCTGGTATGGCTCGTGACAGAGGCTGTAACTCACCAGTATACATTTATTGCCATATGCAACATACGAAATGCCATGAATCAGCCTGTTCAGCATAATGCCAGACTATGCTTATTTTGTCGAATGCAGTATGGCAGGAAGGTAGCAAACATGAGATTCAGTGCTGCTCTCTTTAGTGGTAGGACTCAGGGTAGGGCCAAATCCTGCACTGCATCTGCACCTCTCACCTGCTTTACTTGAAGTGTGCCAGGTACTCTCAGGTGCTTCAGATCTATTAAACTATTGGGCTTTTGAAAGAGAAAAACAGTAGCCATATAATAGCCAACATAACTGCCAGTAAGAGGGGTAGGTAATACAAACTAATTAAAAGAGCTTCTGCAAGAAGCCTGCCTCCTCCCTTCACTGTGTGAATGGGTGACTCTTTTCCTGAAAGTCTGCCATGCCTGCCAGCACCTGGGTCTCCACACTGCAAAGAAACCTCCTGTTTCCTACTTCCGAGTCCTAGACAAGTCCTCTGCTCTCCATCACCTCTGAAGTTGCATTCTGGGATGCCTTCATGATGTAGGCATGTCCTTCATCCTTTTCTGTGCTGTTTTTGCCTGGTTTTCTGTGTGGTCCAGCAGCTTTCCACAGCTTAAGGGCACTTTGTCTGTGTCCCTAGCTCTCCCTCTCCTTTGAGCTCCTTACTGAGCTTACTGGTTACAGCAGCCAAGGTGAGGAAGATGGGGAGCTTTGCATACTGCTCTGCTCCAGGTTAAGAGGAAGAGCAAGGTATTTTCTGAAGTACGTGACCACCAAACTGGAGACAAAGAGTTAATTACTATACCTTGCTCCATCTTCTGAAGTTAGTTCACAACGGTGTCTCTTGCAGTATGGAAGCTCTGACTTAATTCACACTCACATCTGTGCTGTTTGTTTTTATACAGGAGGAAAGTGGCACTGACTGAATCAGTGAAATTTTGGTACTATCCATAATTCAGTAGCCGCTAAACTAAACCTTACGAAGCTGGAAGTGTTTGTTTTTAAGCTGATTTTAAATTAAAGATTTGTAGTTAGTTATATTGAATTACGGAAATAAATAAGACTGAATTGTTCTAGCGATGCCCAGTGCCTAACTTAAAGTAGAATATCTCCAGCTGCCTTAACACTGCTGAAAACAAATGAAAAATAGTTTCACGAACACCTTCTTATACCAACACAACAGAGTTTAAATTTTTGCCAGGAAGAAACAGTAATTTGTTTTCAAGAGCTGTCACCATACAGAGGTACAAAAACAAACCACTTCTCTTCTGGGTGAGCTGCGAGCTCCTCAGAAGCTTTGGTCACTCCTTCAGATTGAAATCTCAAAAACGTTAATGAGAAAAGCTATCCATCTTTTCCCCATCAGACAAGACAGGACTGCTTGTAGTCCCTGCATTCTGAAAAAGAACTTGTGTGTTTTCACGATCACGCTGACTGATCTCAATGTATCTTGTAGTTTGTACACTTGGTTTAGACTTAGTTATTTACAGGTGAGCATCCACAACTCTATTCCACATTTGCTTGACAGATGCAGACTTCTTTAAAATTAAATATCTATCTCACTGTCTCAAATGACTTAGTACTTATTGAAATGTATGTATGTTTTAATTGCTCATTACTGCTTGTAAAGGTGCAAAATGAAAACCACTATACAGTAGCTAGTGAACCTAAACCATGTGCTCCAAACTTTTTACTGAAAATATTTTTCAACGCTTTGGGTAAGTTTCTGAAAGTGCATGGAAGTGTCTGGGCTCAGTGGTGCAGGGAACCCATGTCTGTGATACTAGCTGGCTATGCAAATCCCTAGTGAGCCAATAGTAATATGAAACGAACACTTGAAGGCCAGATGCAGTTGAAAATTTAAACATATTGACTTCATAGCATGTGATAGTTTAATCATTATTTAAGCTTTAGAAATGTCACAGCATAATTTCAGAATGAGTACAAACACTTCCATGCACAAAAATTGCTTTCTTGATGCTACTTTTGCCCTTCCTGGGACAGTTACTCTCTTGTGAATTTTCTGAATTTAACCCTCCCTTGATCACAGTCAAATACTCAGTAAAAATTCAAAATCCAAAATATTAAAATAAAGCCTGCAAATGCATTTATAAACTAAGCAAGTTTTTTCTTTATGCTCTTAAAAAAATAAAAAAAAAAACTGTGAAAATATTTCTTTCATTAAAGGCAAAATTTGCAACAAAACCGGTTAAACGGAAAATGCTTAGTCAGTCTTATTTGCAGAGTCAGGGAATGGAATCTTGGATTTATAAGCACCCATGCAGGATTAAATTCAACTCTACTGTGCATGTGATACATTTTTAATACCCTCACAGCATACATGGAGCCCTGTCTCCTTCTGTACTTGTGAGGGAAATACAAGGAGCAGAACTTTCTGAATTTGTCCTGTATTCAGGAAATTCTGATGAATGCAATTGACTTTGCAGCATAAATTGTGTTGCTATGTAAAACAGTGTCATAACCCCAGTCTACATTTAGAAAGAACACTACCACTTTACATAGCCTACTATGATTTGTTTGTAATAGGAACGGTTCAGGTTGGGTTTTGGAAATTATCAGTTATAATGATTCTGCCATTTCTGAGAAACAGGCTAGGGATAGAAATGCTCTCCATATTAATTTCTGGGGGCATGTTGTTTGCACATTTTCTAAGTGGGATCTTTTTGGACCAGCTGTACATCCTCATAGCAAAGACTTTAAGGTCATAAAATTTGGCCTTTGTATCAGAAATGTACTGGGAGTTATTTCTGGTAAAATTCATTGGAATTGTGCCATTGTGGGTGTTTTTTAAAACTGAACTTTTCACATGTTCTGTAGGAGCAAAATCAGCATAATCATTTCACATTCCTTAAGGTTTGTGTCACCTTCTATGCTCTCATGAGCTTGTTAGTGCTAACCAGAAGATGAACCTGTCGTTCCTGTAGAGCCACTGAATATGTTATAGAGGATAGCTGTTGGGTTGAAGGTAGAGTTCTTTGCAACTCATGAAATGGCCAAGGCATTTCTTTTGTCTCCTCTTCTTTTTCACTTACTAGTTCTGGACACCATGGAAGAGTAAGCTAGTTTATTGAAAATTAGAAGTAAAGGCTAGGGAAGGATTAGGTAGGCATTCTTTATTGTGGCTCTTCATGTATGGAGACAGAACGAGTTCACGATTAAAAGTGTTTGTTAGAGGTCTAAATCATGCAACAGTGTGGTGCAGGAAGAACCTTTCCTTGTCTGATACATGCTCTTGGAGCAAAAATTGGGGAATTACTGTGGGCATATCATAAGCTTAATCACTGGAAAATGAACCCAGTGTACATTAGAACATGCTTTAGTTTCACGGTACAACTAACTGTGGAAGGTGTCACTGTTAGTGCTCCTGACATGCTGTTCAGTCTGGCAGCCCCAGTTTAAGCTCACTGCACTTGGTTCTTCTGGCACACAGTGCTGTGATGGGGAAGATAAGCTGACAAAACAGTCATCAAAGATTCACTCACATCAGGGTGAGTCCCACACAATGAGAGGAGCTATTAATATTTTAAAGGGTGCCATCCATCCCTATAGGCACCAAAGTGTTACATCACTGTGTGTACAGAACAGAATGGCAGTAATGAATAGATCTAACGTGCTGAGAGCCCAGGGAGGGACAAGTTAGCATTTCCGATGCAGAACAACTGGATAGAATTAAGTGAAATAAACAAAGCTTATCCTTAGGGCAAAAAAAATACCTCATTGACTATTCTGAGCTGCAAATCAAGACTGTATCAAATAGTATGGTTGGGTTTGTTCAGGCTTAAAATTTCTTCACCAGTCAAAACTATGGGTTTTTTTTGCAAAGGAATGTGATCTGTAGCTTGAACACAATAATAATGATGACTGAGTGATAAACAATTTGATGTATGTCATTTTTATTACCAAAAAGCCAAAATGTGAAAAGCTGAAGCCACATACATCTGGTAATTTTGAGGCTCACTTGACAGAGAATGCAGGTATGCTCTTTCACTGAGACTTTCTGACTGCTCTCAAATCCTGTCCCCACAGGGCCCAGCCTCCTCTCCCAGAGTGCGCTCCAGCTCAATTCGAAACCTGAAGGGTCCTTCCAGTACTCAGCCAGCTACCACAGCAACCAGACCCTCGCCCTGGGTGAAACAGCGGCTGCCCAGCTCCCGGCCCGTGGCAGTCAGGCCAGAGGTGCCATCCAGAGCTACAGCCAGGTATGTGTCCTAAGCAGCCTGGGTCTCTTGAACCTCAAACTGTGTAAGATATCTTCAAGGAAGCAGAGCTCGTTGGTGCCCACCAGAATATGAATGTCTGCCTTTACTTTCTGTCTTGTTCCGTGCATCTGCAGCAGAATGAATATCACCTTGATTTTCATAACTCTAAAATGGGTTGACTTGCATAGTAATAAAATAATCATGATTGAAAAGGAGATTTACATGGCAGTTCCTTGCCTGCATATACATGTTGGTGATAGCATGTTTAGGCACTTAAGTTTGAAAATTTCTGTGACTGCTGATTAGGAGCCCTAATTAAGGTCTAGGACCTCCCTGCATCAGTATGAGGATATTACTGAAAGCAGTAAGTGCCAGCAAACAAAAACAAAGCCAGGCTGAGATGAGATGAGAAACCTGCTTGGGATACCATGCATCACCTGGTGCCATGGCATAATCCCAAGTCTGAGAATCATTTTTTGCCTTTTTTCCTCTCATATTTTAAGACAAGCAACTTATCAGACAGCCGCCTGTATGCTTCAAACATCCTGAAAGATTGTTTCAGGTACTCATGAAAACTTTATAAATCTGGTTTCCTGGATCTGACACACAACCCTCTCATTCTTCTGTGCTTTTCACTGTTACATCAAAGTTTCTCGCTGGGAAGTTAAATTTCAGTTTAGACAAAAATTTGTGGAAGTGTACCTACATATGCAAAGTCTGACTTATTTTCAAGTCAGGTTATTTTCTCTATTTAGATGTAACCGCCCCAGCAAAGCAGACACTGCTCAGTGTGACACAGGGACACTTTATAATTCATGATTCTGTAGAAGTGAGTAGCATCTGAATTTTGAAACCTTAAATTGCTAAGAGAATTCAAGTATTATATAGTCATTTCACAGTTTGCAGGATACCAAGAGATATACAATATTCTATTCTCTCAATTTGCTCAGAAAAGCTCCCTATCCTCTTAAGATTGAAAAATGAAATAAAGCACAGTTAAATTTAATTTCAAATTGGGTAGGTACTTTTTTTTCCTTTTATAAAGCCAACCATATGCTGGGCTGCATCTAAAGGAGCATGACCAACAGGTCGAAGGAGGTGATTCTGCCCCTGTATTCCACTCTCATGAGACCCCACCTGTAGTACTGCGGTCAGCTATGGGGGCCCCAAAAAAAGAGGGTCATGGATGTGTTGGAGTGAGTCCAGAGGAAGACCATGAAGATGAGGGACAAGTGGACCTGATGATCTTGAAGGTCTTTTCCAGCCTGGTTGATTCCATGACTCCATGATCAGAGGGCTGAAGCACCTCTCCTGTGAAGACAGGCTGAGAGAGTTGAGCTTGTTCAGCCTGAAGAGAAGGGTCCAGGGAGACCTTGTAGCAGCCTTCCATTACCTAAAGGGGGTCTACAAGAAATCTGGAGAGGGACTTTTCAGAAGGGCATGTAGTGATAGGACAACGGGAATGGCTTTAAACTTTTAAAAGAGGGTAGATTTAGATTAGATACAAAGAAGGAGTTCTTCACTCTCTGAGGTTGGTGAGACACTGGCACAGGTTGCCCAGAGGAGCTGTGGCTGCCCCTTCCCTGGCAGTCTCCAAGGCCAGGTTGGACAGGCTTTTGAGCAACCTGGTCTAGTGGAAAGTATCCCTGTCAATTGCAGAAGGGTTGGAACCAGATGATCTTAAAGGTCCCTTCCAACTCAGACCATTCTGTCATTGTATAATAAAGGGTTTAAGGTGAGCCTGCACAGAACTGATGGACAGGGGTAGAGCAGTTGATGTCATCTACCTGGACTTGTGTAAAGCGTTCGACACTGTCCCACACAAAATCCTTGTCTCTAAATTGGAGAGACATCAATTTGATGGATGGACCACTCGGTGGATAAAGAACTGGCTGGATGGCCACACACAAAGAGTTGTGGTCAATGGCTCAGTGTCCGGCTGGAGACCAGTAACGAGTGGTGTCCCTCAGGGATCAGTGTTGGGACCGGTCTTGTTCAACATCTTTGTCGCTGACATGGACAGTGGGATTGAGTGCGCCCTCAGCAAGTTTGCCGATGACACCAAGCTGTGTGGTTCGGTTGATACGCTGGAGGGAAGGAATGCCATCCAGAGGGACCTTGACACGCTTGTGAGGTGGGCTGATGCCAACCTCATGAAGTTTAACCATGCCAAGAGCAAGGTCCTACACCTGGGTCAGAGCAATCCCAGGCACAGCTACAGGTTGGGCAGAGAAGAGAGTCAGAGCAGCCCTGCAGAGAAGGACTTGGGGGTGTTGGTTGATGAGAAAATGAACATGAGCCGGCTTCAGTGTGCGCTCGCAGCCCAGAAAGCCAACTGTATCCTGGGCCGCATCAAAAGGAGCGTGACCAGCAGGTCGCAGGAGGTGATCCTGCCCCTCTACTCTGCTCTCGCCAGACCTCACCTGGAGTATTGTGTGCAGGTCTGGTGTCCTCAACATAAAAAGGACATGGAACTGTTGGAACAAGTCCAGAGAAGGGCCATGAGGATGATCAGGGGACTGGAGCACCTCCCGTATGAAGACAGGCTGAGGAAGTTGAGGCTGTTAAGCCTGGAGAAGAGAAGGCTGCATGGAGACCTCATAGCAGCCTTCCAGTATCTGAAGGGGGCCTATAGGGATGCTGGGGAGGGACTCTTCATTAGGGACTGTAGTGACAGGACAAGGGGTAACGGGTTAAAACTTAAACAGGGGAAGTTTAGGTTGGATATAAGAAGGAAATTCTTTCCTGTGAGGGTGGTGAGGCACTGGAATGGGTTGCCCAGGGAGGTTGTGAATGCTCCATCCCTGGCAGTGTTCAAGACCAGGGTGGACGAGGCCTTGGGTGATATGATTTAGCGTAAGGTGTCCCTGCCCACGGCAGGGGGGTTGGAATGAGATGATCTTAAGGTCCTTTCCAACCCTGACTATTCTATGATTCTATGATTGGAGCCAGCAGGAGAACAGGATTCCAGCTAGAAAGAAAAAGGAGACTCTAATATCCAGTTCTAGCCTAGGCAGATGTCATCATGAGTTGTGTTTTGTGAGAAGTATCATACCTTAGGGGTTAGCCTGAAAGAGTATGATTCATTCTTCAAGGAGGCTAGAAAAAGTAAGATAATGGAAAAGGAACAGTTATGGGAACAGAGCAACAGAAACAAAGGAGAAATTAGAGGGGAAGGAAAAAGCATTTTTTGGTGGGTTTTTTTTTTTTGAAAGGCAAGAAGGAAGGAATCTCAGGTGTGAGATTGTCTGGCAGTTAGAAGTAAGGATATTCTTAATGTAACTTTATCCTACTGATAGAATAGGATGAATTTATGAAGGGGAAAATTAATTATCTAGATTTCTTTCATTGAAATCACAGTGAACAGCCATTGCTTACAGCTGAAAAACTCTCATGAACCATCTACTTTGCAGAAAAATGGTTACCTTCAGAAAAGTAACTAGTAAGTTTTCTTGGTATGAGTGGGCAGGAAATAGGTTTTCTTCCTCTGTTCCTCCAGATTGTATGGTAGATGTTACTGCAGGAAAGTAACTTAGCATAATTTTTCATACCATCATCCTGCAAAGGGTACTTGACAACCTGGGACAATTAAAATATATCTTGGAAATATCAATTAACTGCCATCTAAACTATGAATTAATAGATAAAAAGGTGGTTTCAAAAGAGGTAAAAAAGAAGAGTAAAAAGTCAAAAATTAAAATTAAAAAGTTCTGAATATGACCATGCTCCACAACTAAGGAGAAAAAGTGTCAATACTTGGAATTGTTTTGCTATCCCTATTATAATTAAAATAAGCCTCAGGAGTCAAAACTGCTCAGATTGTGATGATTTCCTTTGGTATTTGTGTACAAGGAATATAGCTATCTCTGAACATGAATGATAGCCCAAATGCATGGGAAAAAAATGTAAATAGTCCCAAGGCCAGCTGTGACAGCAAGAACAATTTCTGAAAATGCAATTGGATAGGAAAGAGAAACTAATTAGTCTTGGGACTTCCTGCATAGTGCTGCAAAGTGCAATCTAACATTTTTGTCAATTTGGAGGACTTCATTATAGATCACAGAGTTTTTCTACTGCTTTGAGTACTTTAGAACACTGAACTTTTATCTTCTAAATGCTACTGGAATAGGATTTTTTTAGCAACAACTGCTTCTCTGGCAGGGAATTACTCTGTTTCTCACTTAAACCAGCTCTTCAAACTTAGTGTCTAAATCCTGATGCATCCTGTATCAGTCGATGAAGGTTATTTGTGAATAATCAGTAGTACTACAAAATGTAGCAGATTTTGCAGATGAATTGCTCAAATGTGAATTTTCTATTTGAATAATGCCATTTGTGAGCAACTGATGGATTGAGTCTACTGTCATCTGGAGAATGGTCAGCTTATGTTATAGATATTGTAGGAATATAAAGCATAGCATGCCCTCCAGATAGTGTTTTTCCACATGCTTTACCATGTATTTGCAAGGGAAGGGGAAAGGAAGTGAAACTAGTTTACATTTCTGGATGATAACTTTTTTAGCCTGTGGTGATGCTGCAGTCTTCTCAGAGGCTGGGGCAGCAACAGAGGTAGATCCTTCCTGCATATTATCCTATTCCTGAAGCTCCTGGACTGATCGAGCTGGCACAGAATTTGAAAATCCTTAAAAATCAAAAGTAGATAGAAAGCAAAGGTAATAATAATTAAAAAAAAAAAAAGAAAAGCCTTCAAAAATCGTGTAATGGTTAATTTTCTAACTTGTCTCCTTTTTCCTACAAACAAGTCATAAGTTTGTCATTCACCAGACTGCCACACCTTACTAGCTCTATTTAGAATATTACCAAATGAGTGGAAGTACATGTTCAGTTGTCAAGCAGAAACTCTATTCTGGCCTTTTTCAGTTAGACTCTTGGCTCTTCCTGCCATCAGCCATCTGTGCCACAGGGTGATAGGCTTCTTGATAATCTACCCAGACAAAATCTAAAATGAGGACTTTGCTTCTGGTAGGATGTGGCAGATT